ACCGCATCATCGTACGGCGCTACGCCGACGACGAGGACGGCAGCATGGACTTCAACAGCTTCGTCAGCTGCCTGGTCCGCCTGGACGCCATGTTCCGGGCCTTCAAGTCCCTGGACAGGGACGCCGACGGCCGCATCCAGGTGTCCATCCAGGAGTGGCTGCAGCTGACCATGTACTCCTGAGGGGGCTCCGAGGGGGCAGGCCCCACGCCCCCCGCGTCCCCGGAGGACGGGACCGCCTGCCAAAAGCACCCCCCCCACACCCCGCGTGTGGCTGCAGACGCCCCCAGCTGTCCTCTCCCGGCGACCCCTTCTGCATGTGCTGGCCTCGCGCTGCTTTCCCGGCTTCATTAAAACAGATTTGCCACGAGAAGGCTCGGGAGTGGTCTGTGGATTGGCTTTGTGAGACACCGGATTTGTACGGACTCACAGACGCGATGGGGTGCAGGGAGGGGCTGGACGGCCGTGGATGTAGATAGGCTGTTGCTCAGAGAGGGAATGCATTCCGAGGAGCAAGACATGTGTGGTTGGTGAGAATTAAGTTTTTGGGGGGAAAAAGTTGGAATAAATCAAGAGAGCCCTCAGGAATTTTTTTTAATTATTATTTATTTATTATTATTATTATTTTTTTTTCTATAAAAGGTGGGGAGGAGGCATGTTCAAAACCTGTGTTTTCCTCCTAATTTTATGTCTGGCATGTCCACGATGTAAATGAGCTGGAAAAAGCTTTCCTTGGAAATGTGTGTAACTATGGGACTGGGGAAGAGGCAGTTTTAGAGAAGGGGAGTAGTCTTTTTTTCTCTTTTTCTTTTCTTTCTTTCTTTCTTTCTTTCTTTCTTTCTTTCTTTCTTTCTTTCTTTCTTTCTTTCTTTCTTTTTTTTTTTTTTTTTGGTGGAGCATCTGTCTCAAGTTCTAGAATTCCTTCGTGGTGGAAAAAGCCTGTAGCAATTTGGTTGGGCTTCGTTGCATTTGTGAAGCGGGTCTGGGGCGCCGGGGAGGGAAGGGCGTGCCCGCAGCCAGAACGTCTCTGGCAGCCGAAAGGACCAGCCTGAACCCTCTGGCATGGACTTCACACGAGATCAGGCGTGCCCAGCGCCCAGCCAGCGCCTGTCAGGTCTTGCCCTGCCTTGGAACAAGGAATATTGTTGTTGTTGTTGTTCCTCTCTGGGAACCAGGCAGGAAAACAACAACAAAAAAACACACACAATGAAATAGAGAAAAAAAGAAAGGAAAACTTACATAAATCGTAATCAGTTCTGTGATATATACAGCAATATAGAAATGTATATTTATACTAATGAAAGGGTAATATGCTGATTAGACCAGGAGACCTTCCGGACAAAGCCATAGTGGCGGGGCCAAGGCATAGGCAGTTGAGGGCAATCAGGCCAGGAGGGGAGGGCAGTTAGGAGTGATCAGGCCAGCGGGGGGACAGATGGAGGCTATCAGGCTGGTGGGGAGGGTGGGGGGGGGCAAGAAGACCAGTGGGGGAGGGTGGCGTGCAATTGAGGGCAAGCAGGTCTGCAGGCAGTGTGTTTAGGGGCGATCAGGCAGGCAGGTGAGCGGTTAGGAGCCAGCAGGCCTGGATTGTGAGAGGTATGTCCAACTGCCGGTTGGACATCCACAGGGATTGGGCCCAAACCGGCAGTTGGACATCCCCCAAGGAGTCCCAGATTGGAGAGGGTGCAGGCCGGGTGAGGGACATCCCCCCTCCCTGCACAAATTTCATGCACTGGGCCACTAGTATTTTCATACAGCTAGATATCAATATCACGCTCCTCCGTGCACATTCCCAGCCCCGGCTGTCATGGGCACTGCCCGGGCAGCTCGTGAGGAAGGCTGGTCCCTGAGTCCCACTCCCCACGGGTTCACTAAGAATCAGCGGCGGAGGGGCTCAGCGAGGACTACCTTTCCAGCTTCCTAGAGATTCTAACGGGCAGCCAGAGCTGACGGCCACAGCTCTGACGAAGGCTGTCCCACACAGTGCTTTGCAAACATCTCAGCCGAAACCAAGGCCCAGCAGGAGGGTCGGCATTGCCAGTATCCGGAGAAGGAAGGTGGGCATCCGAGACGGACACCCCCATCGTGACTTCCTGGGGGGTGGCCCCCGGCTGGGCTTTATCATCTGGATGCAGGCGGTGACGGCGGCAGAGGCAGACTCCAGAGTCCGCGCATGGAGACCCAGCCTCGGCTCACCGGCCTGCTGTGCACGCAGTCCCCCCTCCTGCCTCTCCGGTGTTCAGGGCATTTCCTCCCTCTCCCTGGCTGCTTTGGAGGGCTCCTGAGTTGGAAGATAAGTTCTTCCTTTCCCTCTGGACTCCCCCAGAGGACGGTTGTGATGGTGGAAATGGTGTAATTGAATTTCTTGGTGGTGCCCTGGCCGGTGTGGCTCTGTGGGTAGGGCATCGTCCAACAGTTGACGTTTTAAAGGCACATTTTCTGTGTCAGAGGCAGTGTTTACCTAATACTTTTTTTTTTTTTTTTAATTCGCCATGTTTACCTGGGAGAATACCTAGAGCCTCAGATGACGGCCTTTGATTCCTGTCACTCCATCCCGTTATCCTAACAGGTTTAATAGCAAGCAACACAGTCACTAGAGTAAGGTGAAAATGACGTTCATTGATTAAAAAAAAAAAAAAAATACGTGAAATTGCACCTCTGCATTTTTTAAATTTCAAAATACTCCAGGTGATTTTGAAAAATACCTTCATCTCCATTTAATCCACCGAATTCTACGACCTGTGGCAGGAAGTACTGTGTGCTCTGTACCCAACATGGTCAATATTCATACATTAATGTAAAGGGCACCCCCCCTTTTTTTTAAATAATAGTGCATCTACTTGTAAACGTTGATTTTTATCTAGCAGCCTCAGTCAGAAACCTCATCGGTGGTTTGCACAACGCAGCCATGGTGGGGCCTTAGAAATGTTTTTGGACGTGCCTGTTGACCTCAAAGCGCCCTTAGCATTACTTATTTCCAAGGGTTATCTGTAGCGCTACGCGGATAAAACAGTTGGCGTCTAGGAAATTGGTCTTGCCGTTGGGTACGTGGGTGGAAATGCACTCTGAAGGGGTATTGGGGTAAACAGAACCCCTCCTCCCTGACTCTGGGGTAACTGGGCACGGGCCGGCTGAATGCCGAGGCCCCTGTGTCTGTGAGTACCTTCAGGACGCAGCCTCTCTCTCTGCTGGCTGCTGCAGGGCCCGCTCTGTTTCATGTATGGATCACACGCTGACTGGTGCCAGACATGAGTTAGCCCATCACGTCCCGCCCTAGCCGTGTTGCTACCAGTCATTGTTTATCTGGGAACTCATCGCTTGGACGATTTGGCTGCCAAAATGGCTCTAACACCTGGGATGGTAGTCATAGTGTGTCTGAGGTTCTCCTGCTTCCTCCCTCCCCGCCTCTTCCCTCTCTCCCATCTCATTTTTCCTTTTTTCCTCCCTCCCTCCCTCCCTCGCTTCCTTCCTTCCTTCCTTCCTTCCTTCCTTCCTTCCTTCCTTCCTTCCTTCCTTCCTTCCTAGTTCTCTCCCATCTCCTCCCATCCTCCCTCCCTCTCTGCCTTGCCCTCTCCCTCCCACCTCTCCCTCTCTCTCTCTCTCTCTCTCTCTCTCTCTCTCTCTCTCTCTCTCTCTCTCTTTCTCTTTCTTCTTCCTGCCCACTTCAGCCTTGCACAGTTCCTGTCTAGGTGAGTCTGTGGTGTGCAGAGAAATGCTGCCTTCAGTCAGCCTGGGTGAGGATGACCAGCCCCCTCTCCAGCATGGCCTCAGGAAACATCTCAGGGGGTACGGACCTTAGTGCCACGCTGGTTGGGTGTCGTGTCCCAAGGCTTAGCTGCCACATCTCCAGGGGCCTGGCATCACTGAGGGGCCAGGGATGGAGCTCAGGTTCGCCCCCTGGCTGCTGGCTGATCGCAGATTCGGGCTGGAAAGAGGAAAGAACGTGGCTGTGCTTGTGCCTCAATTCCCCTTTTCCTCCCCTTCCATTATCTACAGGGGGAGGGCTGCTCAGGGACCCTTTGGTGGCCCACTGGAGCTGGCCAGGTGGCAGGCCTCCCTCCATGGTGCAGGGTGCGCTCAGCCCCAGGTGGGATGGAAGTCCGGGATCCTGCCTCCAGAGGGGCTCCGGCCAGGCTGAACTCAAGAACAACGCTGGGTCCAGCCGGCGTGGCTCAGTGGTTGAGCGTTGACCTATGAACCAGGAGCTCACGGTTCAATTCCCGGTCAGGGCCCAGGCCCAGGTTGCAGGCTCCATCCCCAGCATGGGGTGTGCTGGAGGCCGCCGATCCATGATTCTCTCTCATCACGGATGCTTCTCTCTCTCCCTCTCCCTTCCTCTCAGAAATCAATACTAATACTTTTTTTTTTTTTAAATAAAAAGAAACAGGCTGGGTGCCATGGAGCCCCTCTCACGGAGTCTTGGTGATAAAGTATTTGTGTTCACTGCCACACGGAAATACCGTTTTCTTCCCCCGCTGCTGTCCCACCTCTGCACAAACTCTTTTCCCGCCGGCTCAGCTCAGGAGGGTGCTGGGCCGCTGGCAGGCCCAGCCTTCACCTTGCGGGCCATGCCCAGCAGCAGGTGGACGGGCAGAGCCTCAGAAATGGGCGTGTCTCCCATCCTGACCGAGGAGTCCCCAGGTCTAGGTTTCCTTCTTTTTTTTTATTTTTTAAATATATTTTATTGATTTTTATACAGAGAGGAAGGGAGAGAGATAGAGAGTTAGAAACATCAATGAGAGAGAGTCATCAATCAGCTGCCTCTTGCACACCCCCTACTGGGGATATGCCCGCAACCAAGGTACATGCCTTTGACAGGAATCGAACCCGGGGCCCTTCAGTCCCCAAGCCGACGCTCTATCCATTGAGCCAAACCGGTCCCGGCTAGGTTTCCTTCTTATGTCCGAGCGGTGTGAGCTGGGTTAGCTGGGCGGCCTGCCTGGCACCGACGTGGCTGATGCTCCCCTCCCTTCACTCACCGGTGTCTCCCCTCCCTCCCAGAACCATGACGGCAGCATTGACTTCCGCGAGTACGTGATCGGCCTGGCCGTGCTGTGCAACCCTGCCAACACAGAGGACATCATCCAGGTGGCCTTCAAGGTACCGTCCGCCCCGCAGACAGGCGCGGGCGCTAAGTGCATTACGTGGGCCCGTTTCGCGGGGCTGATGGATCCGCAGTGACAGGCGGTGGGGCTAACGCGATTAAGGCCGTGGCTCCCGAGCCCAGGGGAGCGCGGGCCCCCGTCTAAGCACAAAGGTCTCCTGCGAGCGGCCCAGGTCTCCGAAAAGCAGGCGATTTTCACAAATTAGCTTAAAAAATTAGCTCTTTCCCGCCTCCCTCTCTCCAAGCCCCAGCGTGAGGGTCATAAACAATCACCGCCTGTCGCTCATCACCCGCTCCCTCCCTCCCTCCCTCACTCCCTCCCTCCCTCCCTCCCTCCCTCCCTCGGGGCATCGGGCTGTGTCCTGGCCTCTCACTCTGGGTGTCTACGTTCTTGGTGAAGGTGTTTGTCTGGTGGGGGTGTGTTTGGGGGTGGTAGTCCCAGGTGAACCCGTCCAAACTGTCCCAGGGTCCCCCCTCCGTGCCTTCCTGCAGTACCCCATGTATTTTTACAGCCGTGTTGGGGGACAGGAAGATAAGACTGCGGCCCCGGTCCCCACGGGTGTCCATTCTAAGGACCCCGGCTTCATCCATCACTTCCGTGTGCAAAACAGATCTGAAAGAGCCCTGACTGGCATGTCCTCCCAGGCCCAGGCTGTGGTTGGATGCCCAGTCGGGGTGGGTACTGGAGGCACCTGAGCAACGTTTCTCTCATGGATGTTTCTCTCTCTCTCCCTCCCTCCCCCTTCTTCTCTCTGAACTCAATTAAAAAAAAAATTTTTTTTTTAAATTAAAAACAGAGAGAGATGAAAGAATACATTCCCAAAGTGTGTTTGGGCTTCTTCTGAGTTGAAAGGGGCTAACACAGTTAGTGTTTCAATGGGGGTGGGGGTGCCCTCTCCCAAATCCTAACCGTGTCCAGTCTGCTCTCCAGTAAAGCACGAACCCCCTCACCCCCCTGCCTTGTCCAGCTGTGGCTGCTGGCCTCATCATTCAACCACGTGTGGAGGTCTCCCTGCTTCTGTCCACGGCGTCAGCTGGGGGACCTTCTCTCTCCCTGTCTCCTCCTCTCAGTCCTTCCTGGGTTTCTCTGAGAAGAGGATTTACCCGGGACCCCAACAAGTACCACCCCACCTCTATTTTTAAAAAAAAAATATTTTATTGATTTTTTTCAGAGAGGAAGAGAGTCAGAAACATCGATGAGAGAGAAACATCGATCAGCTGCCTCTTGCACACCCCCTACCGGGGATGTGCCCGCAACCAAGGTACATGCCCTTGACCGGAATTGAACCTGAGACCTTTCAATCCACAGGCGGACGCTCTATCCGCTGAGCCAAACCGGTTTCGGCCCCCCACCTCTATTATCTAGAAGGACTTCCTCCCTGAGCCCTCTCTCGCCTCTGAGCCTCAGAAATGTGTGTGTCTCCCATCCTGGGCCGAGGAGTCCCGGGTCCGGGTTTCCTTCTTATGTCCGAGCGGCGCGGACCGGGTGAACTGGGAGGCCTGCCCGGAACCGACGCGGCTGATGCTTTGCAGATGGTCAGACGGCCAGGGCCAGAACGTCTTCCAAGTGGAAAGCTTTTTGGCTTTTGCAGACTTATTCATCACGAAACCTAAAATTACTCCCGCGGCTCGCTTTTTCCGGCCCAGATATTTCTGGTTCTGTTTTGGGAGTGTAAGCGTAATTATAAGTGTAGCCGGGCAGATGTGCACTTGGGGTTCACCAAAGAGAGGCCTGATAGAAAATGTGGCCCTCGTCACGGTAATTACTGTTTATAGAGAAGTCTTGAGATTTTTGTCTAGCCTAGGCCTTGGTTTGGGGGGCAGGGTGAGGAAAGGGGGTCCTAAAACTATAATTAGCTCTTCTTCTTCTTCTTTTTTCCAGTAAGGCAAGGGTCATGCTTTGTATTGGTTACTTTTTAACCTCGAATATGTTTGAAAAGATTTTGGCATACTACACACACACACACACACACACTGAATGGCCAGATGCTTATGATCTCTGAACACATAATAATCTGGCCACTCAGTGTGTGTGTGTGTGTGTATGTGTGTGTGTGTATTCATGCACCAGACTCTATATATATTACAGTGCCGGTGCATGAATTCGTGCATGGGTGGGATGGGTGTGGTCTGGCCAGCCTGGCCAGGGGAAGGGGACATAGGAAGGGGACATGTCAGTACTTATATCATTAATTTTTCTTTAATGCCCAGGAGAGGATTTTGAATATGGAATACTCATTACCCATCCGTTTTTTCTGTTCTGCTACTTGACTTAAAAAAATCCTTCCATCTGTCACTACTGACCTCTAATCGATATGCAATCCCTGTCTTCGCTTCTTTATAATTTCTCCTCTTCCTGTGTCCTTCCTGTTTTTCCACTCCAGACTCTTAACTGGTTTTCCTGATAATAGTTTTGTTAACCTTCTGCCCCCCAATCCCACCTCCGCACTCTGCCTCAAAGAGCTCTGTCGGTTCCCATGTGCTCACACCCCGTTCCCGGCCAGCATGCTCCTGCGGGGTTAGGTGAGCCATCCCATTCCCATCGGGGTCCAATTCCCGCTTGTCCTTCAGTCTCCTGACAAGACCTACTCACATGTCACCTCCTCTGTTTAGCCTTCCCTGACCTCTCATCCACGGGACTCCCATGTCCTTCTGTCCTGTGCATGTGGTGGCCTCTATTGTAATTCTGTCTCTCCCCCCCACTCACCTAGACATGTGGCAAGGGCCACAGATACCCTACTTTCTTCAGGAACGTGTCCCTGGCCCCAGCATGATGGACGTTTGCATTATTCAAGAGTTTATTCCCCGAGATGATTCCGTACCAGGCTCGCTCTGAGGGAGCTCATTCCTCCCTTTTCTTCCCGTTCCCTGTAGCTCTTTGACCTCGATGAGGACGGCTACATCTCAGAGGAGGAGTTTTCCACCATTCTGCAGGCTTCCCTCGGGGTGCCTGACCTCGACGGCTCTGGTCTCTTCAAGGAGATAGCCCAGGGGGACTCTGTGTCCTATGGTGAGTTGGCAGTTGGGCACCTGACTCAGTTTACAAGGAGGGCATCGGACTGTGGACTGATCTCAGACAAGGGTATTGTTGCTTTCCACTAATTTTATTGACAGTAGAAATGATGATGATGGTGGTAGTACTAGTGGTTGCAGTGGTAGTGGTTAATTATTGAGGACATACCATATGCTTCGTGGTCTTCTAAACATTGTATACAGAGTAACTCATTTACATTACATATATTAGAGGCCTGGTGCATGAATTCGTGCATGGGTGGGGTCTGACCAGTCTGGCCTGGGGGAGGGGACATGGGTGGTTGGCCGGCCTGCCTACTGGTTGAACTCCTGGTCAAGGGGACAATTTGCATATTAGCCTTTTATTATACAGGATATACACTGAATGGCAAGATTACTATGCATTTAGAGATCATCTGGTCACTCAGTGTAAAGTCGCCTATAAATGCAAATACTATTACGGCTGCAAAAAATGACTCAGGCTCAGTCTGGCGACATCCTCATCCCCGAGACCTGTTCCACCTTCAAGCGTGTTCGGGTCGTCTCATTGTGCTGTGAAGCAGGCTCCTGGCTATCACAGGGTTAAAAAGTAAATCAACGGGTAGAAATAGGACACTGGGTTCACATCCCTTCTTCATAGGCCCACAGAGCAAGCAGATTCAAAGACCAGGTTCCCATGGCCAAACAAGCTCCATCAACTCCCCTCCATTTCCATTCTGCCCGAGTTTTCAGAATTTATAGAACAGACTCGGACACATGGTGTTCGTTTGTATCTGGCTCGTTTCACTCAGCACAGCGGCTTCAAGAGGCATCTGCGTCTTTGTCCCTTCATTGTCACCACCTTACAGCATCATGTGCCACGAACACGTCTACATGTAGTTAGCCATGTCCGCTGTTGACGAACACGTGCTCTCTGTCCATTTTTTACCTCCAACTAATAATGTTGCCCCGGGATTCTCATCCGTGTCTCCCGGGACACACGAGGCATCCATGTCTCTAGGTTCTGTACACATTGGGGATAGAATTAGTGGGTCCCAGGACATGCATGTTTTTCAACTTCACTAAGTCCTGGGTACGCTGTCTTCCCAAGTAGTTGTCCAAATTTAGGAGGGTTGAGTCATAGGCGTTGGAAGTGATTATCTTATTCAAGTCATCTGCCAAGAGAATCTCCACCTCCACTTATTGGGCTTGGTTTCCTCCCTTCTTCCAGAGGAATTTAAAACCTTCGCCCTCAAGCACCCGGAATACGCGAGGATCTTTACAACGTACCTGGAACTGCAGGCCGGCCACGTGTTCTCCTTACCGGAGCCGGGCCCCGCAGCGCCCCCCATGACCAGTAACAAAGTCAGTCCCGAGAGCCACGCCGAGAGCCCCTCAGATAAGAAAGAGGACTGAGAGATGCATGCCCGACACGGAGGGCAGAGCGGCTGTTCCCCGGGATCCGGACAGCATGGATCATAAATATGATTTATTAACTCATGGTGATGTATAAACTGGAAAACTTAGCCCTGGCTGGGTGGCTCCTTTGGTTGACCATCCTGCCATGCACCAAAAGGTTTCAGGGCACATGCCTATGTTGTGGGTTCAATCCTGTGTTGGGGTGTGTGCAGGGCTGGGCAATCGATCTATATTTCTCATATCAATATTTTTCTCTCAAATCAATAGAAATATATCCTCGGGTGAGGATTACATTTTTAAAAATTTTAAATGGAAACGTTTTTTATAAAAAAAGTATAGTTTTTATTAAGATGCTTTCATTCACATGTGTAGGTCAGGTATTTTTTCCTGCCATATTGTACTGTACTGACTGGCTTACTGGTGATAAGCATGTTTTTGCAGATTTTCCCATTGAGTTTGCACATCCAAATGAATGAAGTATATTCCCTTCCTGGAGCATATTCATCCACACGGTGAAGAGTTTTCTAAGGAAAAATAAGTACTATCTTTTCATCTCTGGAAATAAGAATGAAGAATCTGAGGGACAAATAAGAATGAAGAATCTGAGGGACAGTGCAGAATTTTTTACCTTCAATTTTACAATTATTCCCCCCTGACCCCCCTCTTTCCAGTTTCTTGGATCAGTGACTGTGGTTGGATCAGCAAGGAGAACTCTCTTTAACAAGACGAGGCCCTTAAAAATCGCTTCCTTCCTCTTCATCCCCAAACCCCCTGCAGAGGGGAGTCAGACCCTTTTGCACCGTCCGCTGATGGAGAACTTGATTTCACAGGCAGCCGCCGTGGCCACGGGCTCAGTGGCAATTGCCTTATTGAAGGAGCATTGATCGCCTAATGAGAAAATGAATCGTGTGCCGCAGAGTGTAGTTTCATTTGAGCCGGACAGCTTAGAACGTAGCTCTTGTCAGTAAATGAATCCAATTTCCCCTGCTGATATGATATTAGGATTCATAGCGTGACCGTCCAAGTGGGAGTTGTGTTTTATTATCTGTCCACTGGAGTTTTAGAACTTGTCTAAGGTACTTGCAGTACTGGGAAAGCACAAAGGGTTCTAAGGCAGCGGTTGGCAAACTGCGGCTCGCGAGCCACATGTGGCTCTTTGGCCGCTGAGTGTGGCTCTTCCACAAAATACCACGGCCTGGGCGAGTCTATTTTGAAGAAGTGGCGTTAGAATAAGTTTAACAAATGTGGCTCTTCAAAGAAATGTCAGTCGTTGTACTGTTGATATTTGGCTCTGGATTAATGAGTTTGCCGACCACTGGGTTAACCAATCACTGCCCTCTCCTGCCATTTTTATTGGATGCCATGCATGTGCCATATGTTGTCAATATGGTTTATGTTGGAAATTTTGAACAGAGAACCGATTTTTTTTTTCATCTAATGCATCAGAATGAGTTGGTGCAGACTCTGAATTTAGTCTTTGCATTTAAACCCGTGGTTTTGCTTATGTGTCTGAAGATCATGGCGAGTCACTCCCAAGCCAGTGTGCTACGAAGGCTGTTTTTGAAGTTGAAAATCTCACGAGAGAGATGTTGGCATTTCTATTTAATCAGGAGTCGTGACCTTAAACTAGCTCACGTATTAAGCACTTGCGTGTTCTAATTAATGAGTACCTGTGTGTTTGAATAATTGCTTACTAGAAACTTTGTCAGAGTATATATAATATATATAATCATTTGCTTTTTATGTATTTTAAAGCTACTTAGACAAAAAGCATTGAATGAACTGGAAACAATTGCTGAAGGAATTAAAAAAGTCTTAAGTTTCCAATAGTGTTTGTCATCTGCAATTGAATGTATGTAATACTCAGGTACCGTGACTTTTTTTTTTTTTATATATCATAGAAAAGCCACATGTTGATCCTTCTGGTCATGAAAAAAGTATCATTGAAAATTAAAAGCTTTATATGAGGTTCTAGGAAGTGACCCCATTCATTGTCTGCCTGTTTTAAAATAACATTGTATGCCCTTTAATTCCTCTTCTGCCAACGTAATATTCCTATTTTATTACGATACTGAACAAACAGAACTGCTACCTAAAATCGTGGCCATTAAAAAAAAGTCTGCTTTTGCTCTTTTTTTGTCTCAAACGTAATAGGCCTTTTTAATATTGTGGTTGGAACCCGTTTGCATATTTATGAATATGATTAATCCTCTTTGTTTGCATTGAAGCTTTAGGAAATGTCAGGCATGACTTTAATGAAAAAACTAAACATTTTAGCCAAGGGTGCAGAAGTTGGCTTTTGACTGGTGGGAGGTGTGCAGCAGCCTAAGCCGTGATCCTTGGTGTTATTCGGACGAGGCCTCTACTCTCACGCCACCTTAACCAAACCCTCTTTTAAAGAGGCCTTCCTCCACGTGGGATGGATAGTAAGGAACTACATTTCATGGAGATGTGATTCACACGCTGGACCATTCAGTGCCCTTTTTTTATGGCATATTCAGAGAGTTGTGCAACCATCTAATTTTTAAATGTTCTAATAGGAACCTCCCATCATCTAATGTCAAAAGCCCACCCAATCCCTGCAGCCCTTCTCAATCGTACGACCTTTTCTTGTGATTGCTTTTACACGTGTGTGAAGTGATCTGTTTATATGTGTGTCGTCTGTTATTCCTAGCACTGAGATGCTCCTGGCATAGAAAGTGCTCAGTATGTTGTGAGTGGATGAGTAAGACAATGCTGTCTTCCCTTGCATGTCTGTCTTGTGCTATATTAGAATAGCAATCGTCTTTACAACGAACCAGAAAACCAGGGATTTCGTAGAAACCCATGTAGACATGAAGGCTCAGAATGGTTTCCTCACTGCTCTGGGTTATGTAACTGGCGCGTCCCAGGGCTGGAGTGCAAACCCAAAGCCGTCTGGCTCTACGTGTGGGGACTTCTGTTTTGGCCAAGGTAACCTGAACCCCTCAATCACTAAAGAATGACAAGGCCGGCTTCGGGTTCCAGAAGCATGAAAACCAGAGCATCGGAGAGCCCTGTGGCCACAAAACCCCTGGTGTGCCAAACAGAGCATCACCAACGTATTCGGAAAGCTCGGCTGAGTGTGAAAGACACGAAGGGAAACCCGTTAAGGCCAAGCAATGAAAAGGGAGCCGAAAACCAGCACTGGGAGAAGACAGGGAAGGTACGGTGGGCCTGTGGACATCGGCTAATCTCTGGAAGAACAAGAATTCGTATTTCGTGGCGACGGGAGACAGAAGACGAGGATTTTCTGTGATTGGGGGGTGAGACTTGGAGCTGGGACCTCGGGGAAGGAAACAAGAAGACACTTGAAGGACCACGCTCAGTAAAAGAAGGAACTAGAAAACTCACTAGGAAGGGAAAACACTGGGTGTCTGCCTTGGCCTGGATGTTAGGTCGAGGCCGCAAACTTTTTATGGTCATTTTTAAAAAAATGTCAGTTCTTTAACATGTTGTAAGACTCATTTCGTGGCCCAGCCAAGTGTGTATCGTGGTGAACGTCCCGTGTGTACTTGAAAAGAACGTGTATCCTCCAATTGCTGGGTGTAATGTTCTATAAATACCGGTGAGATCTAGTTTGTTGATAGTCCTGCATCCTTCTTTATCCTCACTGATTTTTTTGTTTACCCCTCCTGTTAATTATTGAAGGAGGTGGAGACGTCCAGCTGCAATTGTGATTTGATCCGCTGCCAGTTTGTCTGAAGTTCTGCTCTGGGTCATGATTATTTCTTATTGTTATGTCATCTTGATGAACTGGCCCTTGGACCGTGATGAATATTCCTTTTTAACTCCAGTCGCACTCTTTGTCCTGTTGTTACCGTCGCCCCTCGAATCACGCCAACTTTCTTAGGGTTAGTCATTTTTCTCTTAACCGACCTGTGTTTTAGTATTTAATAGGCATCTCTTAAGGATTTCATGGTCCATTGGTGTCTTGGAACTGGGACCCAGAGGCATTTTTGTATTGTCTGACAATTTCTGTATTTTTTTGAGCTTGTTTTTATTGATTTTAGAGAGAGGAAATGAGAGGGAGAGAGAGCGAAACATTGATGTGAGATAGAAACATCAATTGGTTGCCTCCTGCACACTCCCTAGTAGGAATTGAGCCCACATCCTGGACATGTGCCCTGATCATGAATTGAACAGGTGACCTTTCAGTGCATGGGATGATTCCCAAACAACTGAGCCACACCAGCCAGGGCCAATTTCCATCTTTCAGTTGGAACATTTAGCTTACATCTGTTTATTGTAATCATCGGTATGATTGGGCTTGAATCCACTGTCTTTTGTTTTGTTTTCCATTTCATCTGTTCTTTGACCTTTTCTCCTTTCCTGGCTTATTTTGGATTAAATCATTTTTTTAACCATTTTGTCATTTTATACTCTCTTTTGGCTCATTAGCTAGCCATACTTATTTGCGTACTGTGAGTGGTTGTTCCGGAGTTTACAATGCACATCTCTCATTTGATGTAACAGGAACCTTCCAACAAGAGGCTCCTGTTTGACCCTCTCTCATCACGTGTGCTGCTGTCCTATTTCTTCTACCGGTTTTTAACTCCACGGATATTATCATTCTTATTCTCAGCAGTCAAGTCAAAATGCATGGGGAAGGGTCTATGTATCGGCATGTTTGCTGTTTCTGTCGCTCTTTATTTCTTCATGCAATGCCAACATTTTCTCTCGTTGGATGTCTTAGGAGCATTCTTGTGCAAGTCTCCTGACAATGAGCTCTCAGCTTCCTTTTCTCCAGACGTGTCTGTATTTTTGCCGTCATTGGACCGGAATATTTCCCGAATACGGAGTTCCAGGTTGACTTTTTGCTGTTATCGTCTGTGACGAGAAGTTAGAAGTCGTTCTCTTCATCGTTCTTTGGATATAATGCATTTTTCTCATCCAGCTCCTTTTAACATTTTTTTTCTTTAATACTAGTGCTGAGAAGTTCAATTCTGATTCTCCTTTTGCATGATTTTTAAAAAAAT